TAAAGCATTTGATCATTTTTTAATTTAAATTTTACTTTGCCAAGATGGCATAGTTTTTGTTGAAATACTGGCATTTTCCAAAGAGTTTGAACAGCTTGTGTTTACATTTTTTTCTTTATAGAAATTAAATGTATTAACTGATTTACAATGAATGTGAAATATCAATCTAAATGTTTTTGTTTACATGTTTGTAAGTAGCTAAAATAATCATAATAGGTTAGGAAACGATCCTCCATCATCTCTGTTCTACAGCCAAAGCCACCCCTTCCTCTTCCAAGGAAAATGAATAAAACTGCTAAATCTTTAGATGTGGATCTGATAAAATGTAACTGGCCTCCTCAGTCACCCACTTATTGTTCAGAGGTGAGTTGTACAGATTAGATTTGTGACTGAATTGTAATGTGTGGTTCTTTACTCAAAATGTATTTTTTGTTAAATTAAAGCTTTGTCTTTTTTATAACTGGGTGATTTTGATTCTTGAAACTCCAAGTTTAGAGTGGTCCTACAGATGAGCATCACAGATAAAATGGTGAATGAGATCAGAGGCTTCTGGAACTAGAAAAAAGTCAAAGTTTGAGTTTTGCTGATAAAGTGTCTGACTTTGCAGAGAAGATTCTAGAAATCACAGCTGAGTATCCAACTCTGAAGACAGTCATCATTCATTCAGGAAGTGATGAAGTTTTGAACCGACAATCAGAAATCCTGAAGAAGGATTTTATTCTGCTGCTGAATGCAGTTAAGAATCTCAACATGGATGTGTTCCTCAGTGGGCCCGTTCCTACAGCCAGAGGAGAGGCTGAGAGGTTCAGCAGACTGTTTGCTATTAATGGTTTTTTGGAAAAGTCCTGTGTTGACCACTCTATGAGATATGTGAATAACTTTGATCTCTTCTGGAAGAGATGACGTCTGTTCAAGTCTGTTGGAATGACTCTCAACAGACTTGGATCAGAGCTGTTAGTTTCAAACATGAAATATTTCCTGAACAAAGTTCCTGCTGGAACCAAACAACAGGGGAGTGATCAGCTGATGTCTGAGGCTGAAGRACCACAGAGAGAGGAGTTACTTCAAGCTGCTGAAGTGGAAAAACATCTGGTTTCACCAGCATCACAAACAGAGGAACCAGAAAATGGCTTCCCCCGACTTACAACTGAAGGGCAACTGATCACTACTTCTTCTCCACCAGAGGAACCCAAACCATCAACTGAGAATGAGAATGTAAAACCTATATC